TTGGGAGAGCAGGAGTCAAACGAGAGTGAGAGAGCCTGATTGTGGAAGAAGCCGAAAGCCTCGTCGCTTTGGGCTTTTAACGACTCAACAGTCGTGCGAGCGATCGTGTGTGAGGCGACGTTGACATGCTAGCGACGTGCGAGTCGTGCGACGTGCTGCGGCAGGAGAGCAGGTAAGATTTGAATTTTTTTTAAATACAACAGGTCAACAAATGCCCCCCAATAAATATGGTAGGTGTCATGAGCGGGCCGTGTTTGTTGCATGCTAATTGACCCTGTGGATCTCTACATGTCTGTTCTAGATGTCACACTAGGGATTCCATTTAGTGGATTTCCAAGAATTTGCTTGGATGTCACACTAAAATTTTTGTTTAGTGAATCTCCAAAAGTTATTTGCATGTCACACTACTCTCTTTTAATGGATCTCCAAAATTTTGTTTGGATGTCACACTAATATTCTTTCTCCATAAATCTTTTAGATGCATCCATAGGTGGTTGATATCTTGTCTTTATAGGTTGACGCTAGTGGATAGCATATATTCAAGATTCTTCAATCATCTGGTTATATCTTGATAGAATTTTAAATATTTATTTGGGGATCTCGGCACGCAGCGCGATGTCGACCCAAATAAATATTTAAAATGCCCCCAGTCTTTAGAGACATTTGTAGATGTCATCTAGGGTGCTCATTCTGCAGCTTTTTCTAGAGCACCGAGATTTATATTCCTTCTGTCCTGTGCTTTGTGTTATGGACTTGGTGAAGGGTTGTCTGATTTATCTTCACTGACTTGTCAGATGATTTGTACGCCTTCTGCCCTTTGCTTCTAGCTTTGGCGGGCTTGATGAAGGAGTAGATGCCGGTGACCTAAACCATTTAGGCTTGTATTAGGTCAATGGCAAAAAGTCATCGGTCCAGAGCTTTATGCATAACAGACTTGTTGATGACGAAATCCTTTTAGTTCAGCCATGGATTTTCATGAACTTTGGGATAGTTTTCTTCGGTCCTTTGCTTTGTGCTTTGATGGACTTGTTGAAGAAAATTTCCTTCGATCCTCACTTTGTTCTTTGCGGATTTGCTGAAGGATTTACAGGTTCTGAATTTGATTGATAGTACCGAATGTAGGTAGTAGCTTGATTCTTAACCACTTGAGAAGACTTTAATCTGAATCACTTGAGTTCATCAGATCGGGAGAGCTGGAAATTGACAGCTCTTCGTCCTCTGGTTGCTGAGATGGGGTTCCTCTACTATGGCCTTTCTTATGGCTTGTTGAGTAGATGGAGCTGCTAGCGATCCGGCCATATTTGGGCTTGTTGAATCCGACCTCTTACACCCATTCAGGTTTCAGACTTGAGCTATGGGAATTACGCTTCCCAATACTAACTTTACTGAGGTTGACAGATTTTGAGTCATCCTTCGTGGTTTTGGAGTTTGGAGCCTACGAACTTTCAGTAGTTGCTCGAGACTCATCTTTCCATTATAACTTTGATTCTCCAATCATTTTGGGAGAATTCTGCAGACTACGATCACTTGAACTTGTCGAGTCAAATTGGCTTTCGTTCTTCTTACAGTCCCTACTAACTGGTTAACGAAGTAGGGGTTCCGCTACTACGGCCTTTCTTATGGCTTGTTGAGTAGACAGAGCTGCCAGCGATCCGGTCATATTTGGGCTTGTTGGATCCGACCTTTTACACCCATTCAAACCTTAAGCTTCAGGCTGTCGAAAGACTTCAGGCTTTTTCAGCTCAATTTGTAGGAGCGTGTAGCCACAAAAGTCTCTTTCTTGACTTTTAAATCTTGGTTTATTGGAAAAGGTGTTGTCTCGATCTTTGAGAGATCACCTGCATAGGCTTTGAAAAATAAGTATCTGTATTCTTTAGCACAAAGTAATCTTTAAATTGATAATTTTAAATATTTATTCGAGAATCTCGGCATGCAGCGCAATGTCGACCTGAAAAAATATTTAAAATGCCCCTATCTTGCAGGGACATTTTGGAGCAGAATAGTATTGACATCTTGAGATTTTAAATATTTATTTGGGGATCTCGGCACGCAGCGCGATGTCGACCCGAACAAATATTTAAAATTCCCCCAATCTGATAGAAAATTTTGAAATGTATTCTCATGACATAAAATATGAAATATATATGCTAACAACAATGTATGAAAACGTAACACATTAAAAACAGCATTTCATGCATAGTATTTCTTCAGGTATCGGCCATTGATCGGCGGTATGGGCCTCTGACCATTCAGATCGATGAGTTGATAAGCTCCTCCCTGGTACACCTTCTCGATGACGAAAGGTCCTTCCAAGTTGGAAACAAATTTGCCACCAATTTTTCTGTGTGGGATGATTGGCCTTCTCTGCACCAGGACTAATTCCCCTTCTTGAAATGATCGATGACGCATCATTCGATCAAAAGATTTTATCATTATTGCCTGGTAGATTTTCAAGTTCTGTTTAGCTTGCAACCTGATTTCATCGAGCGCATCGAGCTCTTCCATTCTTAATCGAGCATTTTGTTCCCGAGTCATCTCATTCTAGATAGCAACTCAAAGGGATGGAAGTTCAACTTCTAATGGCAACACTGCTTCAACTCTGAACATCAGTGAGTAAGGAGTGGCCTTAGTCAGTATTTTGTAGGTTGTACGATAGGCCCATAGTGCTTCTACCATCTTCGTTTATCATTCCCTTTTGTTTTTTTGTGAGAATCTTCTTTAACAGCTTCACCAGTGTCTTGTTAAAGGCTTCTGCCAGGCCATTTGCTCTTGGATAGTATATAGACGAGTATCACCAATCGATTTTGTGTCGATCAAAGAACTTATAGATTTTTGTACTCTTGAAAGTAGTACCGTTGTCTGAGATTATGCGGCGTGGCACATCGAATCTATTAACAACATTGTGAGTAAAGAAATTGATTACATGCTCGGATGTAACTTCTTTGAATGGAGCCGCTTCTGCCCACTTCGAGAAGTAGTCAGTTGTTGTCAAAATGAAATGGTGTCCTGCTGATGACAGCGGCTCTATTGGCCCGATAATATCAGTACCCCAGCATTCAAATGGCCAGGACGCTATTGTAGGGTGCAGTGGATTTGGCGGTTGATGTATAACATCACCGTGGATCTGGCACTCGTGACACCTCTTAGCATGATTGATACAATCTCTGACCATGGTCGGCCAATAGTAGCCCATTATTTTGATTTTGACTGCCATCTTGGGACCTGATTGGTGCGCTCCACAAAGTCCTTCATGAACTTCTGCTACTACCTTATCAGCTTCTCGAGTCCCTAGGCATCATAGCCACATTTGATCGAAAATACGTCGATACAATGTGTTGTTGACAAATGCATATCGTAGTACTATCTTTCTGATTTGAGCAGCTAATGATTTATCTGTTGATAGCTTACTTTCATTGAAATAATCTATGAAAGGTTGCCTCCAGTCATCTTCTTCCTCGACATCTAAGCAATACCACCATGATTTTGAAGCTTGACTGGCTTTACGCCTCTTCTTAGGAGCTTGATGTTCTTCAGGTTGGTTTCCAAGAACAACTGGTCAGGGAGGTTGAGGATCGATTGGGGTTGCATCCTGCTGGCTTGAATTTGGTATTCCCTCTTCCAGATAGAATTATAGTAATGCTGGCTCTATAATCCGCCGATTGTGCACCATAATTATTATAGGCCATTCTTCGTCCATATTCGTCATTTCTTTAGCCAATTTGGCAAGAGAACCGACTTTGACATTTTGACCTCGGAAACTTGAGTTAGTTTGACAATTGGAATTTGCTTCATAAATTCAAGAACTCGCCGGTGATAGCAGGCCAACTCAAACTTGGTGATTTTATAAACTCTCAATACTTGATTCACAACAAGTTGAGAATCACCAAAAATATGGAGGTTTTGGATTTGGACATCGATTGTAATCTCCAATCCTGCTATTAGGGCCTCATATTCAGCTTCATTGTTGGTCCGAGGTTCAGTTAAGCTGAATGAGAATCTCATTA